ACTTTGTCCTCCTACTTACATGTTCCTGTCAATCAGTTGGTTGGGTTTTTTTGTCTGCCTCTCTCGTAATTATGTTTCGTCTGTATATATCGTCTTTTTGTACACTTCTGGTGTTGTTCATATACCGGATCCTAAATGTGGCCCACTGGCACATCTTCACACCTCAAACATTTTCTTATCTTCCTTACCCATTAATCTCCTTCTCTGTTTGTGCCCCATCTTTCCATATCTCCCCGCTGTCATTCTTTGTGTCGTTTCTTTTATCTGCGGTTCACATCAAACGCTGGCACCAGATTGATTCTCATGTGAACAAGGATGCAGTGGGGGGCAAGGGACCTCTTCCCCGGGCTTTGAAGCTCCTTCCCATCCTGTGGACCACCCCCCCCCCCCCCCCCCCCCAACCACTACCGCAACACACACACACACACACACCCACCCACACATAAGAAAACATTTGTTTTAATACGTTTTTGCATTGCGAAATTGCATTTAAACAAAAAAAGTGGATAATACTGAGGAATACTTTGCTTCAAACAGCATAGTGTCCAAGGTTGCTCATTATATTGTTTTCCTTCTTCAGCGATACAGTCCAATTTGAATAATGTAGGAGTATTTCTTCAACATATAAAATCATCAATCCGTACATCTTCCATTTAATAAACATTACATATGAAGAAGCACCAACATATTTAGTATAAAAAATGTGTCCTCTAAGATTTTATTTATAGGAAAACCTGCGTTTCTTTAAGCTTATTCAGGAAGTAACTTAAACACAAACAATGACAGACATGAGCACGAAGTAGAGTTTAAAAAAGCAGAAATAAACTCTGAGTTTCCTGATTATGTAATCTGTTACTCCCCACACCTGCGTTCGAGTGTCAATAAAGTTTTTGTTTTGTTTTTGCAGCCTCACAAACCTTGTGGAAATAACTTCACTAGCAAGCAGGTGGTCTCAGTGAAAACATCTGATTAAATGACTGTAGACACTGCAGTATGAAAAGACTGTCAAATGATAACAAAGTGGACGACAGGATCTTTCCTCAAGAGTAGGTGGCGACTAAAAATCTTAATTAATATTGTACTAACATAAATCCGGCCTTCACAAACCAGAATCAAAATGACTGCTGTCGTATTTTTTAGATGTGTCAATATGTTACCAATTGCAAACACTTTAGCCACAACACATGATCACAGGTCTCCTGAACAATGCTGCTTTAAATTGAGGAAGACATGTATTATTTTATCCCACCAGAACAGGGAATAACTGTTGTGTATCGTCAAATGTGTTAGTTATGTTTGTGTCATTTCCTGTTTTATTTTGTACCTACCTCTTGTCTTTCATTTCAGGCCCTGTTTCTTCCTCCCCTTGTGTGTTTTTCCCGCCATCATCAGTGTCTGCACCGCCCCTGATTATTTCCACCTGTTCCCACTCACCTCATGTTTAAATAGTCCTGTCTCTCCCCTGTCCTGTGTCAGTTCGTCTTGTTTGTTTCTCCGAATGGTCGTGCCAAGCCTCAGCTCAGAAAGGATCGCTTTCACTCATGTCAGGTTTTGTTTCTTTTGTTAATTTTGTAGACTTATGTTTTTTCTCTTTTTGTTATGCCTAGTTTTTTCCTCTTTGTGAGCGCCTTTTGTTATTTCCAGTACCTACTCTGTTAAGAGGGATTACCTGATCTGTGAAATTTAAATTTAATTTTTTTACATTCAAGACTTTGTCTCTGGGTCGTGCATTTGGGTTCATCAGTTTGTGTCGAGGTCCTGACAATAACTGCATATTACTGACACATCAGGAGATATTGATCAACATTACTTCAATCAGGAGGGACTTTCTTTTGATTTAACAATATGTTTTTATTGCCAAGAATACACAGATGAATAATAAAGATGATACAGTACATCTACTATTTTACTGGAATAATACATACATGGAATAAATAATATTGCTTTTCTCAGCTGCTTCAGTCTGATGTGCAGTTTCATGGAGTGTTTGTGTAATGTCCAACAATGATATTTAATCACAGTGTTGAAGGAGGGGTACCAGTGCCAAAGCATCAGTTCATTTATTATTATGTTTAAGAAAAACACAAATATGTTTTAACTGTAGTCTTTAATTGTAATGTCCTCCTATGCTTGGAGTGATTATGCAGTGTGCACTATCAGTGGTGGGTGAAGTATTAAAGATACTTTATTAACTATAGAAGTACAATACCACTGTAAAAATACTTCGTTACAAATTACAGTCCTGTTTAACTGGCAATAATCTACTGCACTTTACAACACACTGTCTATAATGCCTGTGCCTTAACTTGCTGCTATCTTCTTGCTATGTAATATGTTTGTTTTTACTGTGTATGTTGCATGTTTTTACTGATTGTATTTACTTGTTATTTTAAAGGTCCCATGTCATGGCCATTTCTACTGATCATAATTCCATTGAGGTATACTAAAATAGATTTATATTGTGCAATTTTCCAAAATCGCATTGGTTTCTCATACAGCATCTCTGTATAGATGTGTATTCACTCTCTGTCCTAAACGGCTTGTTGGAGCTCCTGCCCCCCCTCCCTATGAGCCCAGTGGCCGTCTGCGAGACAGCGAGACACAGCGAAATCCAGCCCGAACACACACACACCCGCAGCCTGGCTGGGAGTTTGTGTGTGTGCTCACACACCGACTCACAGCCTTGCCGCGTCCCGCCGTCTCAGGGAGGAGAAATTGGCGGAGCTGCAGCTGAGAAAAGATTGAGTGTGTGAGTGTGAGGAAGTCCGCGGATTGGTCAATTAGGACCAATCCACGGACTTAACGTAACGGCTCCGCGGAAGTAACGTAACGGCTCCACGGATTGGTCCATTTGGGTATGGGCACGTCACTGTACCCAGTAAGAAAACAATGGAAAAAGAGAAATCTCCAAAGAGGCGTTCTGGGGCAGCATAGACAGGTCTTTTCTGTGTTAGAGTTTTACTCGCTACAGGGTGTACTTTGAGGGTTTGTGACTTTGCAGACCGTTTACATGCAGAAAAACCTTCATAACACACAAGGGGACGGGTAATAACCGGAAAAGCATGACATTGGACCTTTACATTTAATTTGTATTTAGCGTGACTTAAAACATCTGTCCAGGGACTACAGATGAACAATTGCCTCTTGGCTAACAACACAGGTATTGCACATAATGTGTAAATGAAAAGAGTATAAAATAAACAAACATAAACAGTAAATAATACACTTTTCAAAATACAACATAAAATGTAACTCAAAGTAAAATATATGCATATTGACAGTGAAAGATATATATATCTGTAGACTATCCGTCTAACATTTAATCGTAGAATATAATTCACATCAAGTGTGCAAGAAATAGCATTTTCAATTAAATATAAATGTTCAAGGTACAGTGTGAAGACTATCGGATTAGTGAATTATGGTTGAATCAGAGTTCACACAGTAGTGATCACAGTTTCTTGATTTCCTTGTTGCTTTTTCAATCAGAACTTGAATGAATCGATAAATGCAATGCTAGCTTTGAGTTTTTTGAATATCAGAGATTGTAGTCAGTGATTTGGAACTCTTGATCACTATCAGCTGTCTAGTGTTTAACGGAACACAGGCATTCCCTCATTTGCATAATTCAGTGACAGGGATTCTAGAACCTGTTCTAGAACATAGAGTGTCACAGAGGGCACCTGGCTTTGGTCTCAGAAGGCATAGGAACACTGGGAGACATAGGAAGCAACAGTTGTTAAGATATCTTTTGACAGACAAGGTGAAAAGTGAGATTCTAGGAACGATTTTTAGTTTTTTAGTCAGCCTTAAGCGTCTACTCGCTGTCTGTGTTGAGAGCTGAATTGTTTCAGCATTTGAGTTTATTTACAGAAACAAATATTGAAATTCCTGCTCTCATAGTTGTTATCTCCAATTTCTGGAAAATTGGGAACCCATTGGGTTACTGAATACGATATTTATTCTCTTCTAATATTGACCCTTTCACGGATAAATATCTCAAAACCGAGATGGCCGACAGAACGCCAGTCAGACACAGTCACTCTTTCATATCTTTCCAATCCTTCTATGGAGAGCGACTCTTGCAGGTAAGAAAATGTGACATCAATTAACAACTAAGGAAGGAAGGAGGAAGTTGTCAAAGTATTGTTTTATATTGGGAGGAAATTACGATTAATCTTCTGTCCACAAAATTTGACATCATGCATCACTGGCTATATTTCAACTACAATTCATACTACCACTGCTACTGTTGTTGTTGAAAAAACGTAATCTACAGTAACCTTTTTAGCTGTAAATCAATACACTTATGTTATTAAGGACTGCAGATGGAAATTAGCTGTAAACTAACACACACGGACAAACGGACGACTGTTTTACAGACACACCAAAGTAATAATTTCTTGAATAATCTGATAATATAGTGTTGATATCTCCAATACATACAGACAACGCTGGGCTGCACTAACATGGTGTTAACAAAGTGGTTGAATGATAATATGGTTTTAAGATTAACACAAAGAAAACAAAGGACATTGTTTTTGGCTCCCCATCTGACTCATTACAGTAAGTCCTTATTGTTATCAAAAAAGAAAATCTCAAGCAGGTTATTTCATATAAATACTTCAGTGTAAGGTAGACCATCCGCTATCTTTTAAAGAGCAAATTAACACATCTGTAAAAGGACACAACATAGAATTATAATTTTCTTTTGGTCTTTTGGTTTTTCTCCTACCATGTTCTGAACAATGAAGTGAATCCCAGATAAAGTGCTCGTTAAAGGGTCTTGAACATATTATAAGTGAATGTTATATAATATTATGTTAAAAGTCTGCGCACATGTTTCTTGGCTTAAATTATGTAAATGTATTGCTGATCATATTGTTAATTTTCCCAAACAGCAAGGCTCTCAGCCCTTTTTTGGCTCGTGGCGTGCGCCGATGTTTGCATCTGCACATACAGATGTTGTGCAGGGTCACAACAATGGAAAACATCTTGCCATGTCTCCTAAATCCTTGCTGCAGCCTCTGGATCAAGTTCTTCTCTCCGCTGAGGAGAAGCTCAAGAAGCGGAGCTTGGCACTGAAGCAAGTCAGCACCTCTAAAGCCCTCGAAGAGCTAATGGGCTTTCAGACCCAGGCCAGGTTGGAGAAGGAGAAGATGGAGGCAAAGATACATGAGATGGAGGAGGACTTAAAAAAAGAAAAGACAAGATCGTGGGATCTGAGCTGCCAATGGCTGGAAGAAATCAATAGCTTAAGGACAGAGCTGTCGGTTTTTCAGTCACACAACCAACACTTGAAAGAGGAAAATGCCAGGGTGACACAGAAGCAAGTCAGCACCTCTGAAGCCTTCGAGGAGCTAATGGGCCTTCAAACCCAGGCCAAGATGGAGAAGGAGGAGATGGATGCCAAGATAAATCAGATGGAGGAGGACTTTAATAAAGAGAAGAAAACTTGGTCGGATCTGAGCTGCCAACGGCTTGAAGAAATTAGTAGCTTAGGGACGGAGCTGTCGGATGCTCAGTCACACATCGACCACCTGAAGGAAGAAAATGCCAAGCTGACGATCAAGGATGACAGCACCTCTGAAGCCTTCGAGGAGCTAAAGGGCCTTCAGACCCAGGCCAAGATGGAGAAGGAGGAGATGGTGGCCAAGGTAAATGAGATAGAGGAAGACTTTAACAAAGAGAAGACAAGCTTGAGGACGGAGCTGTCGGATGCTCAGTCACACATCGACCACCCGAAGGAGGAAAATGCCAAGCTTACGAGGAAGGATGACAGCACCTCTGAAGACCTCGAGGAGCTAATGGGCCTTCAGTCACAAGCCAAGACGGAGAAGGAGGAGATGGAGGCCAAGATAAATCAGATGGAGGAGGACTTTAATAAAGAGAAGACAACATGGTCGGATCTGAGCTGCCAACGGCTTGAAGAAATTAGTAGCTTAGGGACGGAGCTGTCGGTTGCTCAGTCACACATTGACCACCTGAAGGAAGAAAATGCCAAGCTGACGATCAAGGATGACAGCACCTCTGAAGCCTTCGAGGAACTGATGGACCTTCAGACCCAGGAGAAGGAGGAGATGGAGGCCAAGATAAATGAGATGGAGGAGGACTTTAAGAAAGAGAAGACAACATGGTCAGATCTGAGCTGCCAACGGCTGGAAGAAATTAGTAGCTTAAGGACGGAGCTGTCGGTTGCTCAGTCACACATTGACCACCTGAAGGAAGAAAATGTCAAGCTGACGATCAAGGATGACAGCACCTCTGAAGCCTTCGAGGAACTGATGGACCTTCAGACCCAGGAGAAGGAGGAGATGGAGGCCAAGATAAATGAGATGGAGGAGGACTTTAAGAAAGAGAAGACAACATGGTCAGATCTGAGCTGCCAACGGCTGGAAGAAATTAGTAGCTTAGGGACGGAGCTGTCGGATGCTCAGTCACACATTGACCACCTGAAGGAAGAAAATGTCAAGCTGACGATCAAGGATGACAGCACCTCTGAAGCCTTCGAGGAACTGATGGACCTTCAGACCCAGGAGAAGGAGGAGATGGAGGCCAAGATAAATGAGATGGAGGAGGACTTTAAGAAAGAGAAGACAACATGGTCAGATCTGAGCTGCCAACGGCTGGAAGAAATTAGTAGCTTAGGGACGGAGCTGTCGGATGCTCAGTCACACATTGACCACCTGAAGGAAGAAAATGTCAAGCTGACGATCAAGGATGACAGCACCTCTGAAGCCTTCAAGGAGCTAAAGGGCCTTCAGACCCAGGCCAAGATGGAGAAAGAAGAGATGGAGGCCAAGATAAATGATATTGAGGAGGACTTTAAAAAGGAGAAGACAAGCTTAAGGATGGAGCTGTCGGATGTTCAGTCACACATCGACCACCTGAAGGAAGAAAATGCCAAGCTGACGATCAAGGATGACAGCACCTCTGAAGACCTCAAGGAGCTAATGGGCCTTCAGACCCAGGCCAAGATGGAGAAGGAGGAGATGGAGGCCAAGATAAATCAGATGGAGGAGGACTTTAATAAAGAGAAGACAACATGGTCGGATCTGAGCTGCCAACGGCTGGAAGAAATTAGTAGCTTAGGGACGGAGCTGTCGGTTGCTCAGTCACACATTGACCACCTGAGGGAAGAAAATGCCAAGCTGACGATCAAGGATGACAGCACCTCTGAAGCCTTCGAGGAACTGATGGACCTTCAGACCCAGGCCAAGATGGAGAAGGAGGAGATGGTGGCAAAGTTAAATATGGTGGAGGAGGACTTTAATAAAGAGAAGACAACATGGTCAGAGCTGAGCTGCCAACGGCTTGGAGAAATCAGTAGCTTAGGGACGGAGCTGTCGGATGCTCAGTCACACATCGACCACCAGAAGGAAGAAAATGCTAAGCTGAATATGAAGGATGACAGCACTTCTGAAGCCTTCAAGGATCTAATGGGCCTTCAAACCCAGGCCAAGATGGAGAAGGAGGAGATGGCGGCCAAGATAAATGAGATAGAGGAGGACTTTGAAAAAGATAAGACAAGCTTAAAGATGGAGCTGTCGGATGCTCATTCAAACATCGACCATCTGAAGGAGGAGCTCTTGGATAGCAGAAGACAAGCAGAGAGAGAAATCACATCTCTTCAAGAAAGTTTCAGCATTCAGATACAGGAGAGTTCTGCAAGGATTTCTGCCACTGTGGATCACTGGAGAGAGGTGATCCGGGGCACAGAGGAGGAAGCTGCCACAACAATAAGGGAATCGAAGGAAGCGTGGCAGGGGAGATTTAAACAGCTGGAGAAGAATATTGAATCAAAAGGAGGTCTCATCTCCAGCTTGATTGATAAAATGAGAGCATCCGCATACAGTCACAGGCAAACCTTGAACCTGCTGAGCCGAAACCGGTCAGAGCTTTGCGAGAGCCAGAAGAGCGTTGATGCCCTGAAAGAAACCTACCAGACGGAGCTGACGGAGAAGGAGAACAGCTGTCAAAGAAGAGTGGCAGAGATGGTGAGCAGGAACGAACTGGAGAGGTTGCTGCTCCAAAAAGAAGCAGAGGGCATGCGTAGGACCAGCGCACTGGAGGAGGAGATCCAGCGGCTAATCAGAGAGAAAAGGCAGCTGCAGGTATGACTGCTCTACTTTCAATTCACATTTTAGGACATTATATTAGTTTGAACATGAGTAGGTGTAAACAGCTACAGACTTTATGCTAAGCTAATGTTGCAGTTTTAGCTCCGTCAAAAACAGGCATAAGTATTGAAGTCTTGGGGAAAATGCAAATAAGAGTATCTCCTAAGATGTCAAACAAATTCCCTCTTTAAAAAGAGCTGTTAAAAGCTAGGCTCGCGGTTTTATCCTACTTACCCCCTTTTGAAAACCAGGGCTTTTTTATCTAAAGACATTATAAGCATTACAGGAACAATTTCTTCGGAAACAGCAGCGATGACTTGGGTGTGAGAAGTTTTGATTTGTGATTTTTAAATGTACTGATACTGTATAGGTTTTTGAGGTTGTGGCTGGTTCCACCTACTTCCAGAATGTATCCTAAACTTAGATAGTCTTGCAGTTCTAGCTCTGTCAAACACAGACATGATCTAACTCTTGGAGTAGAAGAAAATAAGTGGTGTTCTTATCTGATGTTATTATAAGCAGGAGCACACAATTGTTTTCCTGCCTTCAACATTTTTTTTCCAACACCTCGGTTAGGGTTTAAACACCCTGATATCTTCCTTAAGATGACATCTGTCTTTCCACTTTACAGTTTTTAAAAGCACAGCCGACAGTGCTCTGTGAGTTTGATGACAAACCAAAATGTTGGACCACACTTTCACTGGCTAGCTATATTCAGATTGCTATTCAATTCATTTAAATCAGAAAGCAAAAATATAATACATACTTTTTTTTCCAGATGCTTCCCAAAAAGCCGAAAAAGAAATGGTGGAAGAAGCGACTTCACCTCAGGAGGCGGCTACATCGAGCCACAGCTAGAACATGTTGACCATTGAATTAAAAGTTGTTTAGAATATCAGGATGAAGCTCCCCGAAGCAGTGATTTAAAAAATACACAACAAAAACAAATGTTGAATGTAAAAAAAGATGGAAAGACTACTTGATCGCAACATTGATCGCAATATATTGCCATGTAATTTAAAAGCATTATTATGTTTCGACAAACCCTACAGTGTGCTCCAGATTATATTTGTCACTGAATTGCATACATATAATTTGTAAACATTATTCCACCTCTTCAATTAGTGCTGCACTAGATGGAATGAAGTGGGTGAAGTCTGGAGGCATAGATGGACTCTGGTCTAGTGTTAGCTGCATTGATAGTCAGATAAAAATATGGCTGTATGTTAATAGGGGTGTTGCAAGCGTAATACATTTATGATGAGTGGATGAAATTACAACATTTTATGTTTTGAACCTGCACTTTAAGCTCCATTTACAGCTGCAATAACAGTTTTTTTTGCCATTGGGGGCATCAGTATCACGCTGTGAACACAACTTTATCATATTATCACCTTTTTTACTTGCATAACTTGTTAGCCAACAGCTGCTTACTTACACATCCAGCATATAAATAGCTCTATTGTTGGTGTCCTGATAGAAAAATCTTGCTCTGTAGCATCTAAATGCTCCACTATGTTCACCAGCTAGTGCTTTGGTGCTGGGCTGGTAATGAGTAAAAAGGGGGCAAAAGAGAAAATTGTTACCTAAATCCAAATAGTTTATCATCTATACTGTGGCTGTATTGCAAGTAAAATCATCATAGATCACATGTCTGTAACCAGGGTCGGACTGGCCATTGGGAATACCAAAGTGGGCCGATCGGACAATTCACTAGCTTCCCCCCCCCCCGTTGACAATTGACTAGCGGTACCGAGTTGGGCCGGTCGGCCGGTCGAGTTACCCGGGCTGATTTTTAGTCCCAGTCCGCCCCTGTCTGTAACATCATTCGTACACTCTCACAAAAATCCTGGACTAACTCTACTTATCAGAATGTCATTCAAATGTTCAATCATTAAACTTTTTTTTTTAAATAGGATACAAATGCTTTATTAGTAGTTTTCAGGCCATTTATGTGTGACTGATTGTGATGAGCCACTAGTAACCAAAGTGACACATTTTAAGTCCTACACATAGTGGCTTTAAATATTAAATGAAAGATTCCCCCACAGAGGAGAGCAGTTTTTCTTTACCGCAAGCCACACTTTCCAATAAGCTCTTTTATTTTGCCCTGAAAGACTAATAGATATTGAGCTAGTGGCAACTTATATTACTCCTCTTTTCACATTAATGCGACCAAATGAACCTACTGCCGATTGAAGAACTTTGTCCGGTCCAGCAACATATATTGTAAGCACAGCATAGAATGTCAGAGCTAATGGGTCCTCTTTGTTGGACAAAAGGGGGGGAAATGAAGGTTATTGTCTCTAGCTCTTTTCTTTTAGTTATAGCAGTAATAAATATCCTCTAAGCAGATATATCACATGAGCAAGAGTAGCTCAATAACTCTGCCGTGTCCCTGGGGAGGCATTGTCTTAGCCAGGTCCTGCTTTAGGCTTGATATCAGGCATGGGGAAGGGGAAACGTATGTAAAGTCTGGCACCTGTCATTACAATCCCTACATTGCTTCCCTGTGGCAGTGTCCGTCTGGCAGCGATGGATAGTGGTTTCTGGAAAATAGTGCTCAGATCAGGCATCAATTACTCCAATAAACAGTGTTGTCTCATCAAAACATTGCAATTTAGTAAATAAGCACATTCCTTTTTCAGGCTCAAGTGTTTTGTTGCCAGCTGGGTACCCTGCTGAAATGGATTTTTAACTCGCCATTCAGTGAATACTGGTAAAACCAAAACTGGACTTTAGTGGTAGAAACGGATATTTCACAGTGCTAAAAATTAAATTACAACAGCAGAGAAAATTAATGCGATTAAGATTTCATTTTTTTATTGAAAAACAAAACAAATGTTGATAAAAAATGTATTCAAATTCAGCAGATATGTTCATTACAATGTAATGAACATAATGTCATTACAATCTTCCTACAATATCTTGCACCTAAATAATTACAACCCCTTTATTCTCATGTTTAGGCGATCACAACACTCATTTAAGAAGATCTTGGTAGTGTTTAGAAATACAACTCAACAGGGACTTGAAGCCTGAGACCTATTTTTTGTATCAACTATTCAGCAAAACCACAATATTTCCCGATCTTTAAAAAGGCTTAAATCTTAATTTGAATAATTAAAATGTATCAAGTGACAAGTGAAAACCATATTACAATGTAAAAGGTGTTGCTTGTTGTCGTGGGTTACCCAAATCTTCCCCTCCCCTCTGCCTTTCGGTGAGTTTCAGATCATTATTTAGCTGTCTGGCACATAGCTTTACTGTTTTGGTTCCTTCTCGCTGCTCTTATAGTGTCAATTTTGGATGCAGCAGCCAGCGGTTTTCAAGGCTGCCAACTTTTCAATTTAGTGTTGAGTTACATAGTCAAATTACTTCAGCTTTCACATTGTCATATTCAGGGTCATGATCCTGAACAGGATTGCCCTTAAAATTACAGCAAACCTCTTAAGGGAAATACTAAATGTGAGCAAAAAGAGGACATTTTCTGTGGTAAAATAAATCAAAGGTAATTTTCCCGTTATAGTAAAATAAAATAACTCTTAATAGGTTTTTTTTATGGCAGTTTCAATTTGAGAAATGATGGATACATTTTTTGGAGCATATTTTTTCTTTTAATCTTCTCAAACTGTACAATAATATACAGTACAAATATTCCAAATTGTATAATTTTCTGGGCAGAAATGCTACTATGGGAACTGTTGGATCTGTAAAGAAGCATCTGTTTGCTAACTAGTTGCCAGAAAGAAAATAAATATTGTGTTGAATCTGATTGAAAGGCACTGTTGACCAATACATTATATATGTTATAGGTTGGAAGGAAAAACATGTTGTTGCTTTGTGTTCGTAGAGAGTCTTCAACATGAATTTCCTCCATCTGTGTCTCTACAGAAACCAGTAGATGTTGCATAATAGATGTGGTCGCTGGACGGCAGCTCACGAAAAATTACAAATGTTTTTCCTTCACTGATAGACCGTCTGATATACAGGTAAGAAGGCACACTGTTTCAGGGAAGAGTGATAAACACTTTTTTAGTTTAACTGTGTTGGTTGACTTTTGTCATAGAACATTGGATCATTTTCTACAAAAAGTACAAGGGACTCGATTTGCATGGTATTGCAGTCGTGTTATATTAATAGATGATTCTCGGTGATCTATCAATAGCAAAGTGATGGCAGTGTCATCAGGTGCTTGTTCGTTTTTTTTAAATCTGACTTTTATCCAGAAAGTGGAGCAGAGATGATATTTGGTCTACTTAGATGTGTGACAGTTCAAATTGAAAATAGCTCTGGATTAAAGAACATCCCTCTTTTCTTTCTCTCTCTCTCACACACACACACACACACACACACACACACACACACACACACACACACACACACACACACACACACACACACACACACACACACGCACAAACAACACACACACACTCTCGTCTTACCTAACTGCTCCCACCCTCAGGACTTACATCTCGTAGAAATAGTATGAGCATTTTTACAACACAGATTACATCAATGTAAAATCAATAAACTTGCTGCTTGATCTGTTCCCTGGTCACACACATGTGTTTCCAACTAACACTAATGTACTTTTCAATTTAGTTGTTGAGAAAACTCATTTATTTTGCATTTTTATATTTGAAAGAATGGACATGTCACTGAGATAACGGCCCCATGTTACCGCACGATGAAATGCTTTTTATTGGAGGCTACATTTCAAGCCTGGCAGTAAAATCAATAGGATATTAGACCTTATGTGGTGCAGATGGGTAATAATCTAAAATATTTAGCTGCATTTATACTATTGTGTGACAGTCTACAGCGTGTAGCTCACTCAATATAATCTTTACCTGATTTGACTGTAACGCTGACCTGTAGCAGGGCTTATAACATGATATTTAATGAGCTTGCAGGCTCCTAATGTTTTTTCTTCTTCCTCCCATCACATGGGCATCGATCAAGTAAACAACAGCTAGCCACCTTAAAACACACTG